ATGAAAAGAAAGACTTTGTTCCCACTTCTCCATCAGCGTACAGGACTTCCTTTCCCCCCTTTGAGCAGCCTTATTTAATAAATTGTTCCTATTTTCTGTCCTAACCTACTTTCCAGAGTCTCGTCCAGCTAAAAGATCCAGATCTGAAAGCTTTTGTGCCGACTGACCAGGACTTTGGTTCCGAGTTTCCTGATTTGTCTGCTGCAAATGAAAGCCAAAAGTTCAAATTGTGAATTTAAATGACGGTGGCCCCATTTTTTGATCGTATATGTCAGCAGCTGCAGCTGTGCATGCTTCCATAACTGTGTGGATGAGAAGACTTTTCTCTATGAGCTTTTTGAAGCACAGATTGAATCTTATAACTTATATTCCCTCATTGCTGGAAATCAGAGTATATATCCAGGTGATAAAGTTCTCTGCTCTCTGTTAAGCTTCTGCACCTCCTGATCTCATCAAACTGCTCACTGCTGAATAGACAAAGTGCACCTCTGTGGAAAAGACACTGAAATAGCCCGCCTGCTGAAGTGATAGCCTACGGCAAAACAGCTTCAAATCTCTCTTCTCCTCTATTGATCGAGAGAACAGATCATCCGTTTATACAAGAGAACAGAAAAAGTATGAAAGCCATTGATTTTGAAATATTCAGGGAAACAGGAAATGTGATTTATGCAAGCTATGAGATCTACTTATTGCAACACGATGCAAGAAAATGAGGGGAAATTATTGCTTTTTATAATTAAAATGTTAAATATCAGTAAAAGAGCAGAAAATTAAATCCGTGTGGGGTAAATACGTCAGAAAAGTAACCTTTTAATGTTCGGGAGTCAATATGTCAAGCTCCTTTTGCCAGTAGGGTCAAGCAGACATGAGAATCTCAGGATCAAGAAAAGATAGAACAATCCGGTTTTGCAGCAACAGGTTTCTTGTTTCTCTGCAAACCCAAAGAAAGGTGTCATCTATCCGCAGCACGTCACAGCCAACGCATTGCACTTTTCCTTTTATTTCATATAAATCGCCTAAAATAAACTACAACATCAAATAAGTTCTTTGGAATGAATAAATAAGTAAATACAGATACAGTGAAGGGAGGAGGGAGCCAGAATGTGTCTGAGGAATTTATTTGTGTTCATGCATCTTTTCCAGATGTTCCACATCCGCCTCACTTTCTGCTGCGGACGTAGTTTTCTAAAATCTTCGTCAACAAATCCGCTTCCTGCAACAATAAACAAACAGACAAGCAAATAAATTAATTAATTAAGGCTGGATTTTTGTTTAATTCTCACCTGAGTTTTTGAGCGGCTCTCGCGCGTGTCCACCTGCGCCTGCAGCGCCACGCGCAGAAACTCGTGAAACAGCTCCCCGAGGGAGCTCTGATCTGCCGGAAGGCTGACCTCCAGGGAGCCCAACCCCTGCTCCTCAGGTGGGGACAGCAGAGGGGAGTCCATCACGCTCTTCTTACCCATGAAATGCCCTGCAAAAGCAAACAAAGGCGCTTTTTTATCCTTAAAGTTGCGCCAAACGAATTTCCGGATAAAAACGAACTTTCTTACCTGTAGCCCAAAGGTTCCCTCTCGGATTCACTTTGATTTTTGCTACTTTATTCCTGAGCTCAGTCAGGTCGAAACTAACTGCAGCAGTCAAAGACATGAAGGAGAACAGAACCAGGTATGTAAATAAGCCACACTGGCACACGTTACTCAGTTGGAGTCCTTTCATCTCAACGCGGAGCGCAGAACTGTCCTCCAGTGCGCAAATCTCCAAATGCGTGCTGGATAGTTCAGATTCATCCCGCTTTTATAGGCTCTTCTGACCGGGGTGGGCTCCTTTCTGTGCGCGCATCAGACTGCTGCGCTAAATGGGTACAAATCTGAGGATTTACGGGTAAGGCTGTGCGTAACTGAACGCCCCCCCCCCCAAAAAAAAAACGTTTATGCAAAACACCCCGGATTATCATCATATTATTATACAATAATGGGTGTGCTATTCTGTTGAAGCAGAACTATTATTAGAAGTGTTGGAAGATACCTGCTTCCTCCATCGTTCATTTCAGGTTCACTTTCAACAAAAGCCACAAACATTTCACCGAAAACTGCTGTTTGTCATATAAGTTCTTAAGAGGAACAGGTCTCTACCAAAGCATGGAATGATGTGCTGCTGGTGTTGCCCCGCCTCACCGGTCTGACTCCCTACAACCAACAACAACGTGACATTTGACCGGTTGAGACGTGCTACTGTGATGATCACCAGTCCTCCCGAGGACAGGACCCGCTGATTCTCACTGCTAATTTAGAACTGATAAGACAGATGGCCTCTTCGTCACTTCAGGGTGCTAAAGTTGGAGGTATCGTGGAGGAGCTGCAGCTTCCGTCTTGCTCTGTTAACAACCTTTGACATTAATGAATGTCAGTCTAATTAAAACATCACAGCATCACACACACTGCCTGAGTTAAATGGACCTTCATATCTGGAGATGTTAGCCTCCAGGAGACAATAGATGAATGAATGAATGATCATTTTTTGTTATGGTTAGGGTTATTAAAATTTGAGCTTATGTCCTATTAGAATATTACCAAGAAGAATTTATAACTGTTTTAAATCAAACTACAGTTTTGAGCTTTGGGTAATGACCGAAAGAACGAGATCGCGGATACAAGCGGCCGAAATGAGTTTCCTCCGCAGGGTGGCCGGGCTCAGCCTTAGAGATAGGGTGAGGAGCTCGGACATTCTGGAGGGACTAGGAGTAGAACCGCTGCTCCTCCGGATCGAAAGGAGTCAGTTGAGGTGGTTTGGGCATCTGGTCAGGATGCCTCCTGGACGCCTCCCTGGGGAGGTGTTTCGGGCATGTCCTGCTGGCAGGAGGCCCCCGGGTTGACCCAGGACACGTTGGAGAGGTTACATCTCCAATCTGGTCCGGGAACGCCTTGGGGTCCTGCCGGAGGAGCTGGTGGAGGTGGCCGGGGTGAGGACGGTCTGGAGCTCCCTTGTTGGGATGCTGCCCCCGCGACCCGGACCCGGATAAGCGGAGGAAGACGACGACGACCACAGTTTGGATTAATGTAAGTCATTCTCCATCACATCCTGAAGTTGTTCCAAATGATCTCTACTACAAAACACAGTTCAGCAAATAAAATACAATTTAGAGACTTTGAAACAAAACTAATGGCATGCATAAAGTAAACATCGATGGACCAAGGACTGAGCCGTGTGGTACTCCACATGTAACCTCCAGATAACTTGAGTTTGCCACGTTAAACGGAACACACTGAGATATATTATGTACAGTGAGGAACATAGGTATGTGGACACCCAACGATTCAGCAAGTTTTCCCACTTAGAAATCATGGATATGCCTGAAATTCACATTCCCACTGTGAGAGACAGCATTTCAAAGAAAATTCAGGAGATCACATTTTGTGATTTTAAAAGAATTTGTTTTTTCCAATTCAGATCAATTCAATTTTATTTATAAAGCGCCAAATCACAACAAGAGTCGTCTCAAGGCACTTCACATAATGAACATTCCAGTACAGGTCAGTTCATTAAGCCAATCTGTAAAAAGTTTCCTATATAAGGAACCCAGCAGGTTGCATCGAGTCACTGACTAGTGTTAGAGTCTTTACAGCAATCCTCATACTAAGCAAGCATGCAGCGACAGTGGAGAGGAAAACTCCCTTTTAACAGGAAGAAACCTCCAGAGGATCCTGGCTCAGTATAAGCAGCCATCCTCCACGACTCACTGGGGATGGAGAAGACAGAGCACACACACACACACACCATATACCAAGCAGTGTTTCCATGGTTACACTGTGATTTCTTAGTAAATATTCTCTTTGGTGAGAGATAAACTTTATTGTATTTATCCTTGTAAATCTATAATTAAACGGGTAAACTAGTAGTAGCACATTCAATGTCAAAGAGAGTAAAATGTTTTTATCAGGAGAGGGAGAATGTTTAAGTGGTTAGCAGCAGTGTGCTAGATGATGGCCCCCTCCATTTTTAAACTGCTGCACATAAGATTTTTTACACCTGAGAAAATCAGTGTAAATATTTGGTACAGAAGCCTTTGTTTGAAATTATAAAGGTCAAAGGTACTTACTTTACTTTCTCAGTGGCCTAGTGGTAGAGTGTCTGCCCTGGGACTGGGAGTTTGGGGTTCAAATCCAGAACCTTGGTCATCCTGACTGTGCTTCAGATCATTGTCATGTTGGAAGACCCAATCACGACCAATCTTCTATGCTCTGACTGAGGGAAGAAGGTCATTCCTCGTGGCACCACTCATCCCCTCCAGTGCAGTCATCCTGTCTTCTTGGCAGAAAAGCACCCCCAAAGCACAATGTTTCCATCTGACCACATGACTTTCTCCCATGCCTCCTCTGGATCGTCCACATGGTCATTGGCAAACTTCAGATGAGACTGGAAGTGATGACTTGAGCAGGGGAACCTTAAATCATGACGGTGTAGTGTTCTACTTACAGTGACCTTTGAAAAAGTGGTCCAAGCTCTCATGTCATTGGCCAGCTCCTCCTGTGTAGTTCTGGGCTGATTCCTCGCCTTTCTTATCATTGATCTGAGCAACTTGCATGTCTTCTCTCGTGGTCTGCCTCTATCTGTTTTTGTTCCACATGTCTGTGTTTAACCTGGGTCAGGACGCTGGGGCAATGCCGATCCAGGTGATTCTGATTCCCCACTAGGGGATTTCTTGCATGGAGCTCCCGTCCAAGGGGAACTGGCAGTCGTCTTTAGCGTCTCCCACTTTCTAACAATTGTTCCAACAGTTGATCTTTTTTGACCAAGTTACTTAGCAATTGCCCCGCAGCCCTTTCCAGTCTTGTGGAGGTCCACAATTTAGTCTCTGGTGTCTTTCGACAGCTCTTTGGTCCCATGCATAAGTGCTATTTAAATAAAGTTGATTGATGCAGTAGTTGAAGTGTGGCTGACTGTGGGGTGGACAGGTGTCTTTAACAAGCTCAGACAGGTGCTACAAATTTAGATCAATGCATGCAGTAGAGGACTTTTTACGACAGGGTAACAGAATTCTTCCTGATTTTCTGTACAGGAATATAAATATACACTCTTAAAACAAATTCATACATGTGATTTCCTGATGTTTTTGTTTCGGTGCTCACTCTCAGTGGGAATGCACCAGCAATGTGAATTTCAGACCACTCCACTATGCATAAGTGGGAAAACCTGCAGGGTATTCTTATACTTGCGTTCCTCACATAAGAAGCTGTTTTCCAATCACGCGTCAAGCCTCTAAAGTCAACCTTCTGCAACGTATTCACTAGTAGTCAGAAAGTATCAAAAGATTTCTCTACAAGTGAAAAATACCCAACTGTGTGTTCACAGTAAAGTTAAACTAAAGTTTAGTCCTTGTTTCAGATTGTTTTGTTCCATCCAAACGTATCAGATGTGAGATTTGTCTCGGATGAGAGTCAGATCCTCCGACTATGAATTCAGGGTTCTCCATTGGGAAAGGTGGAATGCTGTCTGAGTTGGGAGTTCCTCAAGCAGTTTTGAGCACCTTGTTTCACGACAGAAGATAGGATGGAGCAAATAATGTTCCTCTGACCCTCATCTGTGATCAGAAGATATTTGGATCATGACCACATAATCAAGATTCTGGTGGCCAGGCTCATTATGCAAGGAGCTCCAGCTCCTTTGTAGAAAGGTGTAGTGGGTTGGTTCAGGCAGAGAGCCCAGGGTGGTGGATGGAGGGATGGGGAACACTTGGGTCCCGTTGATTCCACCAAGTAGCTTTTTGTTTGTTCGGTACGTATGTGACTGACGGAGATAACCGCTGTGACTAAAGCAATGTTGAGTCTGTCGGGTCTAATAACACACGCACGCACGCACACACCCACCAAAGAAAACCCTACATAGCAACGATTGAAAGCATCTCCCCTGGTTTCATCCTTTTGTAATAACATAAAACTCAATAAGCAATATCCTTTATGCTCAAAGCAATGAAAATTAACCTCTGACCCTTGGAATAAATCTAATTTGTCGCACATCTACAGTTTGTGGAAGACAAACTCTGACGCAGCGGACTCGATTTACCAGCTGCTGTCGTTGGCTTCACCACGTTTAGAAACCAAATCCTGAAGGAAAAACATCCAGAGGTAAATCTTCGGTACCGGTGGCTCATTTTAGAAACGTTTACCGATTCTGCAGAAAACAGCAGATGACCAAACTTAGAAAAAACTTTAAATGTTTATTTTTATGCAAGTTTCCCCTCAACAGTGACAACAAATACAAAGATAATATGCTAATCACGCAACAAACCAATGATAAACAGAAGATTTACTTTTCTACTGGGATCCCGTTGTTCACTGAATGAGGCAAAAATTCAAAAAAATGAGCTGCAACCATTTTTTATATTTCATTTTCATAATCAGATGTCAGTAAACACTGATTTATTTAGTTAAAATAACAATAAAATAATGTGGTTTCGCTACTAATAAAGACCAATTTCTTTATTCTGACCAACTTTTCTCACAAAAATAGTTTTAAAGCTTGGATTTTAGAATGTAAACACAATCCAGACTTCTAAACAATGTTGGAACCAATAATATAAAAAAAAAGCCAAATGACTAGATGTGAAATTATTCTGATTTGAAAGCAGAGGCAGAGGTTTTCTGGATGTAGGTCTGGGTTGTTGAGGACGTTCCTCACTCTCGATGGACCAACACGAAGAGACCCAGCATGAAGAGCACGGCATACTACGGGACACACACACACACACACACACACACGCACACACACACACATTAGAAGTCAAGAATTCAAACATAAAACTTGTTCAGTGAAAACGACAGGCTTACTTTGAACTTGGGGTAATCATTCATGAGAATGGTGATGATTCCAATATACGGCACAAACCTGGAGATGATAAAAACATTTACTCATTTATGGGTAAATTAATAATGAAACTAATGGGCCATTCCCATCTGTACCGGGTCGGCCCGGGCCGGGTAGCCCCAGTCGGCCCCAGCCTGGCCCGGCTGATTCCACACATCCTTGTCTTAAGCCCATGTGGGCTGATTCTACCCACCAATCAGAGGCTTGCTCTAATGGAAGGTGTGAATTTGCTGTCAGCAGTGGGTGTGTTGGCCCTGGTCGGTCTGAAGCAGACCCCCTCGAGAAGAGGGCTGAGAATGAGCCTTGGTTGGCCCGGGAAAATACCAGGCCACCCAGATGTGTAAACAACCTACGCTACCCGACCCGGGCCGACCCGGTACAGATGGGAATGGCCCATTACACAAAAAGGAAGACTTTGTTGGAGTTAAGAATTAACTTGACGTAATTCATTATCTCGCGCAGTTTCATCCTTGTGAAATAAATAAATGCAGTCCAAATAGGGGTGGGCGGTATAAACGGTATACGGTAGAAATGATATTAATTTGGCCAACGGTAGAGATTTTGACAATATCGCCTATCGCGGTAGCGCATGTTGATGACGTCATCAAGCGGCGTCTGTTGAGGCTGAAAGCATGGAGCCTGTGGAGGAGGAGGAGGAGGTTCTCGTAATGAAGACCGGTGCAACATCGGTCATTTGGACTTGGTTTGGCTTTAAGGAGTCGGATGTGGAGCAGAACAATATAATCTGCAAAGTATGCCGGAAGAAAGTATTAGCGAATAGAGGGAATACATCTAATTTGTTTTACCACCTCGAAACGAAGCACGTTGTGGAATACGAAGAAAGCCAAAAACTGCGTCCTCAACAAACGCCCAGTCAGTCGAGCGGTAAGAAAAAAGGTGGTCTTACACACCAGCAGACGGATATTTTACAAGCATTTGCTAAAGGCACTCAGTATGAGAGAAATAATCAACGGTGGACTGATGTTACATATGGCATTACCACGTACCTGTGTAAGGACACGGTGCCGTTTCTTACAGTGGAGAAATGCGGCTTTCGGGACATGATTAAGACACTCGATCCGCGTTACGAGGTTTTCACTTTATTTTAAAAACTTTTGTGTTTTGCTAACTTTTACTTGTATTTTTATTTAAAATATCCCAAATTTTTATATTTTATTAAAGAATGGTGTGTTCAATTTTTTGGAATAAGATCCGTTACACATCTTAAATATTACTCGTAAAGCTTTTTATTTTTGCACCATAAAGTTTCTTAAAATTGCATTTTATACTGTTTGAAGTGTGTTTATTCTTACGCTGCAATGTATCTGGTATGCGAGTATGTTTAGAAACAGCCGTTTTTGACATATATACAAAAGAAAGTCATATATCGCAATATATACCGTTACCGAACATTTATAAAATTATATCGCAATATAGATTTTGGGCTACATTGCCCACCCCTCATTCCAAACCTATAAAAGCAAACATGCTCAGAAAAAAAACAGACTGGCGGTATAAATGTGCAGGGTCCACTGAGATGAAACCTTCAATTTTCTTTGATGGGGGGGGCTGATTACACAATTGAATAAATAATAAATAAAAAAAGACGATCCCATAGTCATTAAGGAGTACGTCCGACACATGAGCTAACGAAACAACGTTGGTTCCGCTGAAAGATTCACAGATCCCGAATCGCTGATGTGCCTTTCAAAAGATGCATCATAACAATGAATTTTACATAATCCCTGCACAAAATGTAGTTTATATGGAACTGTGGTTTTGTAGTTTAAATGCATGCGTTATTTTAGAAACTGACAAAGACTCGAGCTCCCTTCCAACCGGGAGCGTTTCAGATGTGAAACAGGAGCTAAAGTGTTCCATGTTACTGGTCACGCAAAGTCACAAAAACACGGGATACTTGCAACACCACACGTCATTTCAGAAGTCCACACAACAACACACAAGTAGAAAGACCGCTGCACGTATCCACAAAGGACTGTGGCTTATTTTCTGTTTACATCGCGGCCGAGTATGAAGCGGCTGGGATGAGGATCAGCACCTCCAAATCTGAGACCATGGATCTCGACCGGGAAAGGGTGGCTTGCCAACTCTGGGTCGGGAGAGAGGTCCTACCTCAAAAGGAGGAGTTTAAGTATCTCGGGGTCTTGTTCACGAGTGAGGGTAGGAGGGATCGGGAAATCGACAGGCAGATTGGTTCGGCGTCTGCAGTGATGCGGACGCTGAGCTGATCTGCCGTGGTGAAGAGGGAGCTGAGCCAGAAAGCCAGGCTCTCGATTCACCGGTCGATCTACGTCCCAATCCTCACCTATGGTCATGAGCTTTGGGTAATGACCGAAAGAACGAGATCGCGGATACAAGCGGTCGAAATGAGTTTCCTCCGTAGGGTGGCCGGGCTCAGCCTTAGAGATAGGGTGAGGAGCTCGGACATTCGGGAGGGACTCGGAGTAGAACCGCTGCTCCTCCGGATCGAAAGGAGTCAGTTGAGGTGGTTTGGGCATCTGGTCAGGATGCCTCCTGGACGCCTCCCTGGGGAGGTGTTTCGGGCATGTCCTGCCGGCAGAATGCCCCCGGGTCGACCCAGGACACGTTGGAGAGGTTACATCTCCAATCTGGTCCGGGAACGCCTTGGGGTCCTGCCGGAGGAGCTGGTGGAGGTGGCCGGGGAGAGGACGGTCTGGAGCTCCCTTGTTGGGATGCTGCCCTCGCGACCCGGATAAACAGAGGAAGACGACGACGACATCGGCTACGAGGGTTTCACGGGAAACAATGTTTATCTGACTTGTATTTTTAAAGTTTCCGGATGTTTTACGCTGCTTTGGTGTTTAACTTCCTGTCTAGCTCAATCTCAATAGGGCTGCCACGATTAGTCGACTATTAAAATAAGTCGTTTGTGGCAGCCCTAAATCTAAACTGTGGGGGAAAAAGAAAGACTTGAAACGTAATGATAGTGTCCCTTTGCTGCTGGTGGAAAGGAACGAGTGCACTATTAACAACGACTAATTGCTGTGAAGAACGTTTCACAGCGCTTTCACGTCTGGTGGAGAGGAGGGGTCAGTCCCACCAACAGGACGGGTCAGAACATGCCTAAATCACAGGGGACAAGTACCACCACACATCAGACACAAATGATCTGCAAAGGTGACTAAAACTCTTCCTCATTCATGTTTGTGTGGTACACATGCCAAGATACGTACCCTCTTGCTCGTCCCACCACATCTTTTTTCTCCAGCCAGTGTTGGCCCTGCTTGTAGAGTCCTCTGTCGTCCACAGCATTGTTGTCTCCTTTAGTCAAGAATTTAATGTCTCCATTTTCCCTGCAAGGAAATCATCCTCGTGATTTTAAATCTACTTAAAAATATGCTTTATCCGGATGATTCACTACGGGCAAAATGTCGTTATGTTTTGTCGCTTTGAGAAGAAAATTTGAACCAACAGACAATAATACAACCAAAGAAACAGAAATAAATATATATACATGTGTGTGCGTGTGTGTGTGTGTACTTTTCATGGATCTTTAGTACTCTGTGTACTATTGGGATCTCTCTGCCTTCTATCCTGAAGACAACAATCTCTCCAACTCTGATGGGATCTTCTACCCGGTTGGTCAAAAACAAAAGGTCACCTCTGTGGAAAGCTGGCTCCATACTCCCACTGAAAATATATATATATATATTTATATATATTACATAGAAAAATATTAAAAACAGAATTTTGACCCAGCTTACTGTATATGTAGTAACTCTTTATCGTCATGCATAGGAATATCAAAATTAGGTTGGTAGCTCTCAACTTGCAGGCAATCAGTCAAATAAAAAGAAAATCATCTTGTCTAAATACCTATAGTATGCACATAACAGTAAAAAGAATTTCATGAAAATATCTGGACTGAGCACACAGCCCTGTGGTGTGCCAGTGTTCAGAGCCAGAGTGGATGATGTGCAGTCTACTACTACTACCCTGCTGAGGAAATCTTAAAGGTGTGGAACACTCATTTAATCCACACAATGCAGTGGTCTCAAGTAGGAATCAATGCCTTGTAAGTCGAACTCCAGGGGAGAAAAAGCTGAAATGTGCTTGTTTCAGAAACTAGCAGAATGCCACATCAGACGAAAGCTTAACATGACAAGATGTAGACATCTCACCTCTGATTGGCTAACAGCAACACAACTCTACCACTGACTTTGTTTCCTCTGCAACATTGATGTTTTACCTCCACAAATAACACAAGCCTGAAGGAGTTCTGCTGTATGGTAAAGTGGCTAATGCTAACAGTTAGCTTCTGCTCGTTGAGATGTTCTGTGCTGTTTCCTGGAAGCTAAACCAACAACAGCCTTTCTCGTAGTGAGTCAAGATGGGTGAGTTAAGTGACAGTGTGATGTAGATTTGTCAGGATTTTCAAATCCTAGTGTCTAACAGTCTATTTTCTATCAGAAACTAATGCAGGAGATGGGTGTAGGAGACTATTTTCATGTTCAGTCTGCATGAAAAACTCAGAGCGACTGAGTATAAGAAGACATTTTCATTAAAATGTTTGTTCAGTGTTTCGGTGGCACGTGCAGGTAACACAAACATCCTCCTCACAATAACTTATTTTAAAGATAATCGGTAAAATTCCAGGACATGTATGTGATAAACTCACCTGAGAACAACAACAATAGGACTCTCACTCCCAGTGACGACCATCAGCCCCTTCCAGATCATCAGCGCAGAGGAAACTATCATACCAAAGTTCAGCACCTGGTAGTACAGCTGGAAGCCAAAGGTTTACTCCATTAGTGTCAGATCCACCAGGAGAGTTCTGTCAAAATAAACTAGCCGACAACCACACGTCATTTCACCTACACATTGGGTAGCGACCGTTTCACACACTGGGAGAGCAGCTAGCTAGCAGCAACTGTTGTTTACATGTTGTTTGCGTTTCCATTTACTTTGCTATATAAAAACAGCAATTAATTGAATTCGTGTGTAAAACATAACTCGCTCTGCAGCTTGTTTACAGAAGAGAAACAAGTTGCAGCGTTGAAAGGCGGTTAGATGCTAGTTGTGGTTAGCCGTTTCCGTACAAAGATGTGTCCGTTAACGGAGCGGAAGCCAAGCTGCGAGACTCACCTGCCGCTTATTCATGCGACGGACATCGTCAAGAAAGTCTAAAGATAACATTGCTGCAAAGAAACTGAGAAAATAACCGTCAAATTTACATCAAAAAGCTTAACGTAGGGAGCATATGCCACACCGAGGAGCGGTGAAACTTGCATCTGAAACTTCCGGGTATGTCACCGGAAGTTCCGCCCACTTGTGTCGAGGTGTCGCTTCAGGATACGAGAGTTCAGAGCGGAGGGGCTTAACTAGAGACAAAGCTCCTCTTTTAGGTTTCTAACCAGAATCCTAAATATACCAAACTAATTACCTCAGGTTCATTCATGAATCTTACAAAATACAAAATAACCTTTTATTTTCTAACTGCTGTCAAAGTTTTAAAGTAGAAACGTGTGTGGGAGCAAAACTGATGGAGCAGCTGGAAGATTTTACTTTTTCTTTTTTTATGCACAATGAGAACTAAACGTAAAAAATCCCAACACGAAGTTGAATTTACTTGCTTTTGTTGCTTGTCTCAATCTCTTGTCCAACTCCTAAGAAAGACTGGGAGTGAAACAACGCAGGGATCCTCAATAAATCATAATAAACCCAAATATAAAGATTGTGCTGGGTTACAGTGATTTAAAAATCACATTAAATAAAGTATATATATATATATATATATATATATATATATATATATATATATATATATGTGTGTGTGTGTGTGTGTGTGTGTGTGTGTGTGTGTATATATATATATATATATATATATATATATATATATATATATATATATATATATATATATATATATATATATATATATATACACATATATATATATAGCAAGAGTTTGGTCTAGTTCACTAGGCCACGTTTTTGTGGCTCCTCGGTACACTTGTAAGTAAACACTATTACTAACACAGCAGTGCTTCTGTCAAAACCCAGGTAAATTGCTGCTGATCTAGTGGCAGAACACATCATAAACCATCAGTACGCAACATGAATTAATAATTCACCACACACTGACACAAAGGAGCGGAAACGTTACTCAACAAAGTAAATGAACGTGAGTAGTTTCTCTACAACCTTTATTAACTCTTCCCCTAATAATATTATATTAATCTCACCCAAAACATACGAGCTCTTTCTATCAACACATTTTTTTATGATAGATCAAATCTAATTTCCTACAGAAGTGATAGCATAATATATGACCTTGTTGTGCTGTCCAGTTGTTTGAGCAGCTGATGAGGAACACTCATGTCACACGTGTTTGGATCCATTAAAGCATCAGGTTTTTGTTGCTTTTTCATTCTTTTCAGTTTGTTTTAAGTTGACAAGAGGCTCTTTATGTTTCACTAACAAATTATACGTAGATGTGCAATGGACAATGTGTAAATGGACAATCCCCAGGCCTATGCATGTGTGTTTGTTGGATAAAATTTTATATTCACAAGAACTTTTATATTTTCTTCTTCATAATTGTAGATATTAATTAGTGTGTCTGCAAGGGATTGTCTGAGTTGATCTTTTTCTATTCAATTAGATTTTTTTTATTAATCAAAGTAAGAAAATGTTTTACATTTTTGTGTTGTTGATGCGTATGACTTTTGCAATATTTGTGCAAACATGTGAGCATCCATGTGTACACAGCAGCTGCTAAGTTTATTTACACATAAGAGCTACTAAGTCAGTCATTAACCAGACGTGTGCGTGTGCGTGTGTGTGTGTGTGTGTGTGTGTGTGTGACATAAGCAATGTTTAAGGGACACCCACTTCACTGTGGATGTTTTGTGTAAAAGTCTGATCATATATTTAGTCAAATAAATAAAATAAGGAAAGTTAATGGAATGGTGTTAACCTTTAAAACATTTCAGTTCTGCTTGTTTTACATAGCACATGTTTAAACGTGTTGTTGCCTCTACAGTAAGTTTCTTTCAATAGATGTTCTTGTAAAAATGACATTTTAACCAGAAGCTTTTATTTTGAAGTATGTTAGAAAAGAAAACAGGAAATGAGGAAACGAGATGTTTTCAGTTTCAGTTGTGTCATTTGTTTTTGTGTGATTTTGTCAATCCAGAGAGAGAGAGAGAGAGAGAGAGAGAGAGAGAGAGAGAGAGAGAGAGAGAGAGAGAGAGAGAGAGAGAGAGAGAGAGAGAGACATTACAGCAGCATTACAGAGGCAGTATTGTTCTGGTTTAGTGTTCAGTTTAAAGGCGCATCCGTGAAACAGGAAGCTGCATACATACACTTACTTTCGGTCTAGGTGCAAAACTTTAATTTGTGAGCTAAAAGTAGGTGTGAGATTGAGTCCAGCTCCCTGTCATAGAGGTGCATCCCTCCAAGGTTACTAAATGGAAACCAGGATAGGGGTCGGTGGCTGAGGCCGTTGAAAGCGTTGCTTTCAGCCAGAATAGTTTTAGTCACGCTGTAGTTCAGGTGATGCTGATGTAAATAAAACGTTGACATCACAGAGCGGGCGGAGGTGAGCTTTAAAGAGCAAGTCACTGCCAAATCAACTATTTTTTTCTGATAAACTATATAAATGCGTGTCTAATCGTGCTGCAGACACGTGTAGTCAATAGTTTTGCACTTTAGTGCATTTTAGTTCAAATTTACATTTTTTGCCAGAAAATGTCAGTGTTGTGCCGTTGTCAGGTAAAAACTCTGCACTGCATTTGAATTTAAATCTGCCACCGCTATTGGCTAAGAGGTATGCTATGATGTAAACTGGTACATTATGATGTCACAATGTCGTGAGTGTGTGTATTTGTTAGTGGCTCTTTAAAGAGCAAGTCACCCCCTACAAGAAGCGTACTTCACTCCCACTTCATGTTTGAAAAATGCAACAAATGCTGTTGCCTAGCAGACCGAGAGGGTGGAGCCACTAACAAATACACACACACTCAGGCTCACGACAGCATTGTGACATCATAATGTACCAGTTTACATCATAGCATACCTCTTAGCCAATAGCGGTGGCAGATTTAAACTCAAATACAGTGCAGAGTTTTTACCTGACAACGGCCTAACACTGACAGTTTTAGGCAGAATATTTAAATTTTAACTAAGATGCACTGAAGTACCAAATTATTGACGACACGTGTCTGCAGCACAATTAGACACACATTTATATAGTTTATCAGCAAAATAAAGTTGATTTGGGGGTGACTTGCTCTTTAAGGAAAATCTGCTTCTTTGAGCGGATGTTTGATTCAGCGATGATTCAGATTCAGATTCAGACTTCAGATTTATTGGCCAAGTAAAATTACATTTACAAGGAATTTGTCTTCGGTAGATGTTCACTCTCTAAAACATACAACAACCATAATAAATGAGAATAAAAATACCTAAAAACACATAAGAACATGTATACCCACACACATGTTCATTTACGCACACTGTGATGATCCATCATTACCTCTTTTTCCTCTGCAGCTTGTTGACAGCTCTGACTGGATCCAGGTTTAGCTGAGAGGAACTGATGAGAGACATGCATCGGCATCTTATTGTTTCACCGTCACTAAGAGCTGCTGGTGACACGGTAGATTAACGTAGCTCTGACGGTCAACCAGCGATGACACCGAGACCAGTGGCAGCGTGCGACTTTTGGAGCAGTGGAGATAAAACTTTTTTCAAATGCCAGCTAGTCTGTGGCATTTAGGAACGTGTAATCCTTTTCACATAATCTGACTAAATGGTCACAACCACACTGGCCCGCTGATGGTAATTAAGGTCAGCTGGGAACAACAACAAGAGGTCAGAATCACATTGATTCAGCTTGTTTTACTCTTATACACATTACACATTTTATTGTGTACATCTGTGCATCCTAACACAGGTGTAACATGTTTGTAATTGCTTTTAGAAAAGGGAGAACTAACATCAAATCGCTTTATTATTGAGGTTTTTTTTTGGACGCTTCCTCATGAATTTCTGTTTCATTTCTGTAAATGTGCTTAACGTGCTAAAGACTTGCATGATGAGTTCAAGCTAATCCTACAAACTCTACATTATCACCAGTTCTATTAGAAGCAATAAGACTTCATTTGGTCCGACTGTACGCGTCAGGTTTCTACTGTTGGGGACTAAAAATCGGTTCATTTGCTCTGACTTATCACCAGTTTTAATGCTGAGATCACGCTGCTGGATCTCTTTCACCAGAGCTGCTCACGACGAGCTGTGCCAACACATCTGTCTCTACTTATTTCTCCTCTTCACTCATAATTATTATCTTTGATGACTTGATGGAAACATCTGGACTGAGGTGTGTGTCACTGATGGTTCTTCTCTCGTGTTGTGAAGAGCTAAAACAAAGTAATCACTGGATACTTTGACTGTTATCTGTGATGTAAAATTCAAACAGTTTTTTTTCTGTATCAGATCAGTTCACATCTTTGGGATTTAAAATATTCCAAGATTTTGAGTGGATTGTTTGAATTCCAGTTTAGTGTTAAGCAGGGGAGGTGTTAGGCCCGGCTACTTGGGCTGAAGCCCCGAATGTTTTATGAAAAGCCCCGGATCTAAAACGTGGAAGTAACATGCAGTACCAAAGTCCAACAGAGAGGGAGCAGCTGGCAGTAGTTTGTATGCAGCCTGCCTGAGCCTCCACCACTGAAGAAGAAGCCCTTCAGCAGCCGGCTTCTTCTACACTCTCTGCCTGAAACGCATGAGTGAAGATGGACATAAGGACGTTTTTTTAGACCAAAAGTACGGCGACAGAACCCCAGCTTTGATGAGACTGGTGTTGACTCAGGTTTGTGAGTCTTATTTGAAAATATTTGTTGTGCTGCTGGTTTGCCTAAAGTTAGCTTATCAGGTAAAGTTGTTGGAGAAAGAAAGGGAATATTTACTATCATCTCACACTAAACACTAACCCCAAAATTTCACTACCTCCGGTCCGGCACGAACTCCGCAGCAAAATCGGTCCCGTTGTAGTCAGTCAGAGCTGTTCCACTACTGCGGCCGTGCGGCGCAGAGCGCCGCCCGCCGTTCCGCCATCCGGCAAAAATAGGATTGATTCTATTTTTGCCGGACGCTGGAACACCGCCGCAGTCAATGGACAGGAATCACAACCGCCCAACAGGAAAGGGAGCAAGCACAACTTCCGTTATTTCACAATAAATCGATAAACAAAAAGCGTTTTTTGTTTCATATGCACAGGTTTAACAACTTTTAACAACTATCAATGGCGGCTGAACTTTAAATGCACAAAAATAAGCCATAA